TCTCTGCTGAACTGCAGAGAATCTTGTCTAAAATCGTTCAAGTCCTACCGAAGATAGTCGAAATAGTTGTGGTACTTAAATGATTACTCTCCTAATATGGCTCCCTAACGAAGCTCGTAGTCGCTCCTGAGGTACTCCCACGCTTTCCAATAAATCCTTAATCCCTTCCAGAGAGACTGGATAAATTGAACTCTGTTGATTATCATTTCCGCGCGTTTCAACATCTCCGTTCCCCGCTGCGAGATTCAAATTCTCTGGCACTTTCATTAAAAGCTATCACACTTCTGACACCAATCGTAACGACGCGACATCCAGTTACACGCGTTTGCATCGAGCCGAGTCTACTACGAAGATGGATGTTCCACTCTTCCCGAGCAAACAGTCACTCTAAGTATTACTTTTGTCGAAGAAGGTATTTTTCTGGAAGAAATGGGGCGCGAGAAAAATCCTTTCGTTATCTCCGTTGATCCGTTGAAATTCTCTAATTAACGATAGCTCTTCTTTCAAACGTTTGCGAAGGTTCAACGTGAAGGGTGGATGATCGATACATACCCAATGTAGCGAGAGAACTTATGATTTAAAGGAGTCTTTTATTCTACACGAGCGAAAACCGAATGAAGTCTCTAACGTTAGAAACGTTTCCTCAAAATTACTTTCTTCGAGTTGGTACAATCAAACATTCTCTGATAAACTGTCTGCGAAAGTTGGAACACGAATAAAATACATTTTTATTATTGAAAATACTGTTTCACTTTTTTATCTAGAACGCAGTTGTTTAAAAAAACGATCAATATTTTTTGCGATACAATCTAATTTTTACAATTTAATTTTTCCGTCAAAATCTAAAAACTCAGAATCACCCAACGACGCGTTTGTTTTTCATCAAAGCCCTTCGGTTCGGATATTTTTTTAACGAATTAATATTTTTATACAAAAAGAAATATAAATTTTCTCGAAATTCGTGCAAATAAATGCGTGAAAAATAAAAACAACTAGAAAGTGCACTGAATATTTATTAAAGTTTGTTGTAATTAGTTGTAGGATGGTGTAATTATCGTGCGTGTGGTAGTCTTACTTTACAGCCACAGCGTTTCAAACTCGATCCACTGCAGTAAAATAGATCGAGCAGCCTTGACAGTACATTGAAACAAAAAGGACACGTTGCCTGAAAGTTTGCTGTCCCGGATAACGCAAACGGTAAGGAATTTTCTCCTACGATGCTACATATTGGTTCCCTGAATTTTTCAATTTTCTTTCCCGTCTATCCACCATCTTACTTCTCTTTTCCTATTTCACGTTCCTCTTGTTCCGGTTTTCAACGCGGGATAGGAAAAATGAAAAATACGTGACGGAAAACTCCGTTTCTGTTGTAGTTTTCTTGGCTTCCTGGAGATTGCACTTAATGGGCATTATTCATCGTCCAGCATCAATAATTTGGAGGCAAGAAATTCGCACTATGTCATCGAGGGATAGTTAATAGTGTAGGCTAGAGAATTAGGAGTGTATTGCAGTGTTCCATTGACCACTGGTGTTAGGCGTACACATCGCTTAAATGCCATGCATAGTCCTCAACTTATCAGCATTGTACGTGGAAGTTGCAGCGGGAACGTTTAATTAACATGCACAATTGGGTCGCTGGTAGTTAATTGAACTAAAACTTTACTTCGGGATTCTCATAAATATATTATACATTCACTTTTCGAGTTCACTCAGATTTACACGCGACGTACCATTAATTAAAAATGAAACGTAATATTACACCTCAATGTTGTTCATTTTAATTTGTGTTAAGTCTTTGGAAGGACTTGAAATCTGTTTCTAAATTTTAACCATACTTTTTCAAGATGTCATAACTCTTAGAGATTTTGCTCGTACCTCCCCTGGCTCGTCGATAATATTATTACACTTTAAAAAAGAATTACGATATATTTATAACCTGCTTCCCCAAGGTGATACAAAATCCCCCAATTTCTCGATCCCTTCGGTTACGCGACCCTTATCCCTGTTCGGTCGAGTAATCGAGGGACTGTAACGTATTACACGATCATGAATACTACGCAATTTTTACATGAATATTTCGTACGGAACGAAGAGCGTGTAGTTTAGAGTCGTCGAGTTAGTTGAATCGCCTCTGTATAATTTTCACCGAGTTTTTCCAGAACTCTCATTACATATACGAGGCGCGTACATATGTCAGAGCACGACAGTATTCTCAACAGTATTTTTGTGCTGCTTGGTTTCTCTAGGACTCCCAGATTCAAATGTTCATTAGGAGGAAAGTAGGAACTTTCATTAGGAGATGTAGAACGCAAACGACGATCCAACAGGGACGAATAAAACATTAAGCAAGTACGCGAGAAACGCACCAGCCCGAAACAATGACGAAAGAGCAACGCTAAGCATTTACGAGGAGGAGAGGGGGAGCAAAAAAAAAAATGGGGCAAGGTGCGGCGAGCAGCGAAGATGACGGTAGAGCTTTTCTTATCTGAATTTCAAGTGCTAGCCTGTAAGAAGAATGTTGTGCTCCTTGTCTCCCAAGGTTTCTCGCGCCAACCGTTGCAGGAAACTTTCGCGATATCGTCGACGACTAATTAAAGCACGGAATAAGAGAGAGCAATTACCGGGGCGGTTCCATTTAATTTCGTAGACCGATTTAAGGCCGTGGAGGGAAGTGGGTCGCGAAAACCGCGTTATATATTTGCATACGGCGCTGTACACGATGTCCTGATACGATTTCTTATTTTACTTGGTAAATCGAAACTTCCATGACCTGGTCGATTATGCAAAATCGTCGTTACCCCATTTTCGCAATAATTACGCGAGTCGCCTGAGCAGGCTACGAAAATATTTCAACAGTCTTTTGGCGACTCGACTGTATAATTATAATTTTATAGAAGGCAAAGTATATATTTTTCTTGACATTTCGTATCGTGAACGGGAGTAGAGAAACTTTAGGGAAGTTAAACGGGTCATCTTGTACACGATTCGTTACGTTGCTCCGAAAAAGAGTTGCAGACGTGAAACGAATAGAAGAAACTTCATCGACAACTTTAATTGGCGCTCGTACGATCTAAACAGACGTGCATACGTGTTCCGAATATTAGTCTATCACTCGTATCACGTCGAAAATTAGATAATTGTATCGATTAACGACCTAGTGGCCATTCAAAGTATGATAAAGCAATTTAATCGAAAGTAGTCGTTATCTCGTAGAATGTGCAAATTATTCGTTCTCGGCTGATCCGAATTTCCGAAACGTATTAAAAATACAGTCTGAAGTTGATATATCTTTTAGCCGAATTCAACGTGAAAATGGATAGGGTACAAGTTCGATTCTTTTCCGCTCGGTTCTTTCTTGCGTCCTTTTCGACCTCTTCGCTGCAGCGTTCTTATTCCCCAGTGCATTCCTTAATAATGCACCACTTTAATCTCGCCGCGCGAGAAAGTACTCGGGAATTGTAATTCGCGTTCACAACTTCGCCGGTAAAACGAGACAATTAATCAGTACCGCCATCGTGAAATAACTCGATAAGCCCTCGCTTTCTGTCTACATGAATATCAATACGGGCCTTTGCGTCATTTTTATCGCGTTTCTCGACATCCAACTACCGTAGCTTACGATACTCGGGTAATTCGGTTCCACGAGCCGGGAGTTTTACTCGTTCCCGATAATACTTGCTCGATGTGCATACAATAATTACGATTTTATCCGTGACAGGCCTATGAACGAACCGTATGATCGAGGAGCTTTCTAGGAAAAGAGCCTCCGTAAAACAAAATGATGAATCGAGTAAATTACGTTGAGAGTTTTAGTTTCGAGTTTAATGTATAACTTCAACTTTATGATAAATTATATTAAGATTATTTAATTATATTCCGTCGTGGTATTTACCTGAAACATAGATTGTTGGACCGTGTGTAATTTCAAAACGTTTAAAAAATATCAAAAATTTATACGTTCTAAAGTTATCAGAGTACTATCTCTTTCATGGTGTATTCTACAAACATTGTATAAACTGTATAAATATTTTTTATATATAATAAGCACAGGAAAACTGCCCCAAAATTTCTGTGTTTACTATACGTGTCATAGCATATAAGAAGGTGATTTTTGATTTTCCATATTTCTTCTCGTGCACCTTTTGATATTATTGAGATATCGTGATAAATTTAATTTCTTAAGTGTGTATATGGCCCAAAAACAATCAAAAGATAGCGGTTATCGTCGTGAATACTATCTAAATTAAGATAGGTTTCGTCGCACTCGGTCACGTAATACGTGCCAAAATAACATGTGTTTGACATTGTTTGTTCATGAAATACATCTCTGCGTTAACTAAATTATATCGTCCCAGTTCAGGGAATTTCAATGATTGTGAAATCTTTTAAAATAAAACTTTGACAAAAATTACTCGTTAGGATATTAATATAAATGTCAATATTACAATAATCAGAATCTGCATAGCAGTAAATTCAGAAAAGACTTGTTAATTAGATTATAAACCATACCAATTACAATTGATTCATTTTTCGGATTATATGTATACACTAATAAGATTAACCGTACAATAAAATATAATTGCTATTGTAAATGTTGGTCCCCTTGGAACGAACAATCTTCTATATTTTCTAACCTGTTCTTTTTTGTACATGATCAATATGCTTCTTTATTCCCTATAATAGAATATTACTAGCGACGAAGACTGATTAGTCAAATGTAAAAGTAACAACTGAATCTGACAACTCTGATGCAAGAATACTTTTTGCAGTGTTTTTAAGGTATGTGCGTAAGTTGTTTTGTAAATAAAGTTTTTTAAAAAGTTTTCACATTCTCGTAACGCACACCTGTTGCGAGACACAGTTCCTCAACGCCACGATAATCACATAATCGGTCATATCAGTCGCTCAGTTAGCGTCGATCGATTGTCTTCCAGCGAACGGTCGTCCGCGATTATAGTCCGTAGTCTATTTTTCACTCGTTTTCTTCCTTCCTAGTCGCAATGAATTCGTTGTTTCTACTAACCGTGACCGCGTGCGTGGTCCTGGGCACGGACGGTGTCAGAGTTTTGTCCATAATTCCGTTCCACAGTAGAAGCCATTATAACGTGTACGAGCCGCTGCTGAAGAGGCTCGCGGAAAAAGGTCACGAGGTTGTTTCCGTGTCTCATTTCCCTCAAAAATCACCATTGTCTAACTTTACGGACGTGAGTATCGCCTCGAGCGTGTCAAGTCAGGTCAGAACCATAAGGTTCATGGATTTCGGTGATCAAGATAAATGGTACAATATAAGGACAATGCTGAATGCCTGTGGAGTGAGCTTGTGCGATCCTGTGTTGAATCATCCGAATTTGAAGAAGCTAATACAGTCCAAGGAGAAGTTCGACTTATTCATCGTCGAGGTCTTTGCCTCCGAATGTTTTCTGGCCATTGCTCACGTCTTGAAGATACCCATTGTGGTCGGGGGTGTCACTACGAACGAGCTGCCATGGACCAACTATATCTTGAGGAATCCCGAGAACCCCAGTTATATTCCCAATTCTTATAGCAAATTTACGGACCGAATGAACCTTCTTGAAAGAACCAACAATTTTATAAGTATCGTGGTCGCCAAGTTATGTTACAGGTGAGACGTTTAATTGATTTTTTAGATTTTTGAGAGTTTTGAGTTTTCTGTACTTGAAAATATTTTACGGCAGTTTTATGAGGCATGACTCCGATACAAAATTGGAAAATATTGGGTTTAGAGTTTAACGAAGTTAATGAAAAAGTGATTTGTTTCCACGAGTGTGGTACAAAATAGTTTGAGAAACGCTTGGATATTGCAGATAGTTAAAGTGCTATGTGCCGTAGCCGTTAATCGCCTTAGCACGCACAACTCATGCATGTCGAGAAAGAGGAGTAAACTTGGTCGTCAGTCCCTTAGATGGTGCAGTTACGGGGTTCAAAGTGCATCGTCCAAAACTTGTAGTAACTTATGCACTGCGAAGCGCATTCCTACTTGCGCGAGGCCCGATCAATCAATCTTCAAGCATTTCCAACTAAACATTAGGAGAGAGTTTGCGTTGATTCCTAAATTCTCGCGTAGCGTTTAAGTCTCTGGTTGCCCAAAGTACCATGAAAATGATCGATACCCACCTTTAGTGAACTCTTAACCAAATGAAATAACACGAACAAGTTTGAGATTTTAAATACTCTCTGTAAAATATTTTACAAAATTAACTCAATAATCGAGTGACGACATAATTTATATAAAGTATCATTTCTTAAAACATAAAGATGAGACTTGAGTGAGATGTATTATAGTTTTATAAAGAAATATTCAGCAATACTTTACTCGAGTTTCCTAGTTTAGACCATTCCCAAATTTTGATTAATAAAACTGATTCTAATTTAGGTTATCACAGTACTGTCGTTTATTATTTTACATTGTATCGTACCAGTGCCCTGTTTATAGCAGACTGACGCAATAAAAAATTTTTTAATGCCAAAACAAAGTATTTTTGTACAGATAGAAAATAAACATCGATTAAAAGTGATATATTGGTACTCAACGAGTTAAAATATTTCTTTCAAGGATAGAAACAAATCGAATGTTGATAGCTATCGTAAAAAATTGCATTTACGATTTAACCGTTTCTTTGCAGATTTTTCTCCGACGAGCCTAGCTACGAGATCGCGAAGAAACATTTTGGCGACGATCTGCCTGATTTCGATGCGTTGAGATCAAGGATCTCTTTGATCTTGACAAACGGACATCCAGCCGTCAGCGTAGCGCGTCCTCTGGCTCCAGGATATAAGGAGCTCGGCGGTATTCATATACCGATGTCAGGTCCACCGCCGCTGCCAAAAGATCTCCAGGATTATCTGGATTCTCACGGCAAGGACGGCGTTATTTACTTTAGTCTAGGATCGCAAATAGACATGTCCACCATGCCGAGGCAGGTGTTTGCTGCCTTTTACAGAGCATTCGAGCAAGTACCGCAGCAAATACTGTGGAAGTGCTCCAGAGGGAAAATGCCCACGCTGCCCAAGAACGTTAAGTGCATCGAATGGGCGCCGCAGCTCTCCGTATTGTGTACGTATACATTCTTTTATGCTTATATATCCCAGTTTAACCATTCGAACGAACATTATCCACTGGAGATAATAGAAAACTCGCGTCTGGTTCTCGCGTTGAATTTTCGATAATCCCCGCGTTACGAGTTTCACTATCGTTCTGATCAACTGGTTTGTTAAATCAGATAAAATTCTGCATGAAATAGCTCGAATATAGATTTTTCAAAAATTTTCCAATCTTCTTTGACGACTAATTTAACTGCGGCGGACGAACGGAGTGGAAGAATTTTTTCAAATTCCCTCTCAAAGACTTTTCGAGTTCTTCGTGACGAGTCGTTCGGTGACGATTATTGCAGGGTCGATCGTGATTGGCCCTTTGATTTCTTCCACGGGGACGAAGATCGACGTTTCCATCGTGACAAAGCATATTCCGAACGTTTTCGCTAATTAAAAGGGCTGATTCCTAGAATTGATCGCGCCCCGGTTGTCAAAGCCGGCTCGCCAGGGTGACATTTTACGATTGCATTGTTCAGCGAGTCAAAAGGTATAGGGGTGCATCGGAAATGCCACTCGGCCCTCGTCTGGTACCTCGCGAACGTCTTCACTGTAGAACAATACACGTGTTTTTCTCCAGAATGAATGAGGTGGTCTACCGTTTTGGTTCCTCACCTTTCGAGGGACGGAACAATAGCATTGACTTGCGTCTACCCAGAAGGGTGCATGCTTTATGCCAAGATTTATCCTTCAACCCTTAAACTCTCCGAAAGTAAAATACTGCCTGAATATTCGACTACAAAATATTTGTTTCGGCCGCGAAGCTACCGTAGTGCGTAGTGCGCGGACCGTGCGTATTACACAGCTCCGTACTGTGTTCCCTTTCCGTTCTCGAAGGACCACCCAAACTGGTGTTTGGGAAAATACCGGTAACCTTGAAGCCCGTTGCTTCAAGGAAGAGCCCGTTGGTCTTTTTAATTACACAAGAATGATTCTAAACTTGCGGGGAGTCGACTCGAGTTTGTAAGGCTCGATCAAACGAATCTAATGCTAAGAAGTAAAACTACCCTTAACCTAAGCTCGGTTTCCCCTGCCAAGGTGACGAAAACGCGCAGCGCGAACCGGTGGGAGGATTGGTCAAGCCAATCCTCAAAGTTGTCACCTTGGCAGGGCGTTTCCTGCATCTTGCAACATTCCCGCCCACCCTGCTGTCCAGTGTCCAGGTAGACCATGCAGGAGTGAGCGAGAACGCTGCATTATTATTAACATTGGGAATACCCAATGACCGCGAGACCCCGGTGGTCCGCAGCTGTGTGCCAACGCGGTTTTACGATACGTCAATCGCTATTGAGGCAAGGAAGAGCTCCAAGGATTCCAAGTCCCGTGTGGAGTTTGGAGGTTCCTCAATGGCCGTATCCTAATTTATCAAGTAAAAATGTCTTGAAGGCCTAATCCTCAAAAATAGCGGAGAAGTCACGTCCGTATCATAAACCTCGCGATGTTAAGGTTCCTTTAGAATCCTTAACAATATTCCTAACACGCTGATTACGTTCGATTATAATATTTATTATCTGAGAATATACTTATTTAAAAAGTTATTTCTTCCTCTTCGATCAGATTACACACGGTGTTCGGCCACCCCGGAGAAAAATTTTAATGAGAGATTCTAGACGCTAAAATAAGACGAAAATCAGGAATATTAATTTCTTGATTGAGGTTTCGTTAAAAAGTTATTAAAAAATTAAATTAAAAAATTTGAAATCTTTCACGGAAAAATTACTTTCCGTTGCGAGGACCAATTACAATCATTTTTGGTGAATAGACATACTCAGGAAATTCTACGCACTTTCCGCACTTTTACGTGCTGAAATTTATCGGCGAAATTAAAAAATTTCAAATCGTTCTAAAAAAATTATTTTCAGTTGCGGAGGTCAATTATAATCATTTTTGGTGAATAGACATACCCTCGAATTCCTAACCATTTTCGAGAAAATATTCTTTATCGAAAATATAATTCCAGGCGAGAAATGTCACTCGAAAGGACAATGTTAAGTCATAGAGGGGTTTACTGACCCAAGAGCGTACAGCATATGCTATACACCGTTGGAAAGGTCTCGCCAAGGCGAATCGACTGATACCATTTTTAACTTCGATATCAGATGGGATAATGTCGAAAAATGGCCTCAAAGTTCGAGATTTTGCGGTTTTGAACAAAAGAAACCGGTAGTAAAAGCCCATCCGGCCCGAGGGACCTCGAGTAGGCACCTGAGGAAAAACCGAGGGGTGTAAGCGATACTCTAGCAGATTGGGACGGCAAATGTGCCCCACCATCTTCATTTCAGTGCCGTGTTGGGCCTGTGTTTGCCGCATGGGCCCCGTTCCAAATGCCCAGGGCGAAATCGCCAATGGATCAGTTGTTTTTCATGAACATAATATATTCATGATAGACGATTCGCAGGTATGAGTTGGGAATGTGCAGGTTAGTATTCAGTATTCACATCATTATGTTTCGTTCAATCAATAAAATGTCACTCCATTCTCTATTGTAAGTGACGCATTAGTCTGAATACTGAAATGAAGGTGGTGGGGCACATTTGCCGTCCCAATCTGCTAGAGTATCGCTTACACCCCTCGGTTTTTCCTCAGGTGCCTACTCGAGGTCCCTCGGGCCGGATGGGCTTTTACTACCGGTTTCTTTTGTTCAAAACCGCAAAATCTCGAACTTTGAGGCCATTTTTCGACATTATCCCATCTGATATCGAAGTTAAAAATGGTATCAGTCGATTCGCCTTGGCGAGACCTTTCCAACGGTGTATAGCATATGCTGTACGCTCTTGGGTCAGTAAACCCCTCTATGACTTAACATTGTCCTTTCTTGCGTAACTTTAAAACGTCATAACTTCTGAACGGATTGGAGGATTTTAATGTTTCAAACGGCAAACAATGCGTATTTTAGTGATGAATATGTAGAAATTCTAACAATATTGAAAAAGGTGGTCCTTGACCCCGTAAAGTAAGAAAAACTCCATAAAAATGGTCGAATAGTCAAACGTCCATAACTCCTACAATAGAGAAAATATTTCAATGAAACTTTTTTCTGGAATAGAGTTCATGGGTACCTATAAAAAGGTATTAGACAACTTTTCTATAAAGTTCCATTAAACTTCCCAGGGGTGGTCGAACACCCTGTACATGTTTTACTCTATTCAAGTACATTATATGTAGATCCATCGAGTGACACATACGAGTTGGATAAAACACGTATAGCTAAAGTCACGTGCCACGAACATCACAATGCAAGACTATGCAAAATGCATTGGTTCCTTTTATAAATTTATTATCGTACCAGAATAGCTACAGTGATCTAATTATCCAAAGATTTAAGATTGTACGGTGCTCGCAGAAATGGTAGAAAGAGTTGAATATCCGTAAAACAAACTTGGGAGACAGAACGGTTATTTATTACACGCTTTGGGATAAGATCCCCCTAGGAGCATTTAGCTAAAAATACAGAGTAAGCACGAGGACGAAAAATAAAACTCGATTCTGCTTTTGCAGAGTTCATGAGCAACGAAATTAAAGTAAAATGTATATAGAGAATAGAAAAGTAGAGATACAAATGAATAAAGGAGAAGAATAACAAATATTATGACCAGATGAAAACAAACAGCTGAAGGCACATATGAAAAAGGTGGTCGGGGTAGAGAGTAAATATCATAAATAACAGCTCGAAATAAGCAACAGGTGAACATAATAATTAGAAGTACACGAGATACGCTGATAAGAAAAACCCATATTATATTATACAGGGCGTGGATTAAAATTGTTCGTCAGAATGACTTCCTTGTACGATGAATAATCGAAATGTCCTGTACCATTTTAATAACTATTACGTCCAACACTGTTTAAAATAAATAAAACTATGGGAGGAATGCAAGATTATGAACGCCTGGTTGAAGAAGACTCTGAGAACCAGTGTCTCGAAAACTTATTTAACTCGCGCAACTTTTATACTTATACATGCATCAATCGGTTCCAGAAACCATGTAGGTCACGAGCAACTGGTTGTACAATGCAACTTTAAAGGAATCGAAACTGACTTCTTGTCTCGGTTCAAGAGCAAACTGTTGCAGAGCTCGAAATCGATGCGTCTAAAAAAACTTTTCGAAGGTCTCAGCCAACCTTGACTACGATAAGACTGGACAAAGTGTTTGCTTATCGAAACGTATACAGTGTTAGAACTTTCTGCGTTAGGCTATCTTTCACACACAATCGTGTTCAGACACTTAGAGTAGTCTGTTGGTCTATGGTCTCCTGGTTCGTAGATCACGAACATTGTTTCTGACCCCTGGTTCCATCACCACCAGTGGTTATTGGACTTGGAATAACTCTGTTCGTTATCCAAGTCGTAAAAGAAACCAGTTGGCCCTAGAATGTCTTCTCGTGAGTCTTTCTTATTGGCAGAATCTATGGATCCCCAAGGAACTGATCGTACGAAAGCTCATCAAAATCTGTGCCGCCTCAGTTCTGTTCTACGAAAGAATCTAACAAACGATTCCACGATATTTTGTAGCTCGCGAGTATTTTAAGATCACGTCTCTTGGGACAGAGTTCTATGCAGAGTCTTGAATTTCCAAATCCTCCATTTATTTGTCTCGAATCCCGGTAGGTCCACCTGGATTTTGGTCCTTTGCCTCCAAGGCTCGTAATCTTAAATTCATATCACGAACAAGAGACCCTTTGTCGCAAGCTTATATAAACTTTTGCAGTACATATTCCGTACTAAACGTGTGTTCGTTTGTATTTGTTCCACCTGCGTGCTGCAAGGATTTAGTATTGAGAAACTTTGTCTCTTACAGCTTAAGTCGATTCTCCCACTGTAATCATCGACAATTTTGCAGCTTCAATAATATACTTCACGACCTGTGCATCCTGTGATTCTGATACATTATCAAAATTGAGCACGTAATTTCAATATGTTTTAAAAATTTCTTAGAATGTCCCGAGTTTCACTGCATACTTTAAATTGGTTATATATTATTGGAAAAATTGATTGCAACCTTCAAAAATTCATCACAAAATGCAACGAACCTTCCAGCCAATTTTATTTTTCTTCCATAAAGAATTTGTCGAATTGTAAACATTTCTTGACGTGTTAACGTTAACAATTTTCTCCAAATTGCTAGATACTATTAGTTTAATGTTCTGATAGGGAATATTTGACAATTACTGCATCTTTTGTTGTAGTATTTTTCATTTACTTTTAATTAAAAACATCAAAGTAAAGCAATAATTTATTCTCTACACAATTTTCAGTTTGCTGCGCATATTAATTTTACGTTACACATTTGTGACGAGTGTAAACATACGAAGAATAATATTGATACTTCAACCCATATTTATGAAAATAAGTTTTTACCAATATTACTTCGTTATTGCTGCAAAAGCTTTACGCTTTTACAAATATTAAAACCGTAAATATTAATTGGTAAACGTTTATTTGCACGAATATCATTTGTTAAGATTTGAATAAATATATCATTCTTATAGAAATTCGACAGCAGTACTTATATATTGTTCCAGCACTCGAAGAAATTAATTGAAAATGAAATTGTTATAAGCTTTATTTATTAAAGTGTGAATAGGATTTCGGATATCGCAGAAGTCAGTGACATTAAAATTTTATTGGTTTTTTGAACCATATTATTTAATAAATACAGACCTTTTAAATTCATGGGTGAAATTAATTCTTAAGTAGTGATTATTTCTAGAATTGGTCTTCTAGTACGTCATATTCAAATATGAATATTCTAGAATTTTAAATAATTCTGTCTCAAGGAACATTTCAATACGCGAGTTGAAATTATTTTATAATAGTAGTTTATTCTTGTTATCGTAACATTCAGAATATTTTCTTTCATATTTATTTTCGACAATAGTAAATTATATAACTTAAAATTTGTCTCAGTACTTATGTTTGTAACTTCACTAAAATTTATGAATCATATTCAAATTTATTTGTTTTAACATTTCAGCTTGAGAATGAATTATTTTAGTTCCAAAGTGAAAAGTCATTTTATATATATGGATAACGTGGCAGTCAAAGTGTTAAAACACTACGAAATGAAACCCAGAATTTAAAATTAAAATAACTCAGAGCACATTTATTCAACAATGAAATTCTTCATAGAAAAATGATACTCCCGGTCTATCGATGGTCTCGTTCTGTCGATCCGTGTATGCAAGATTACAGTTAACATTTGAAATTCGAATTTTTCAGAGGTTTGCCCATCGTGTCTCTCGGCCCCCTTGCGAGCCAATAATCCATAACATGCGTCTGTGCTTGTATCAACGAGACAATAACACGCTCCCCGGTATAATCGACAACCCCATTTATGTATCCGGATATTGAAGCCCGAAATTGCGTCAAACTGATTTAAAGTATGCATTAACGTTAAATAATCCTCAGACCAATTTGTTCAAATATTGATCCCCCTTTTCCTCATTATTACACGTCGTGTCGTTTGTTTTGAATAATACTGTTTAGTACCAGGCGACAGTAATCGCCGAATTTAGCATACTAAAAAGTACGTCGATTGTAATTTAGCTATTAGCATGCATAGGCGAAACACTTTACGAGCAGAATAATCCTCGAAATTCGATGAACGGACCGCTATGATCGGAAAACGAAAAACAAAATAAAACCTTAGAACTTGACTGATCATTTTCTTTTTTAATTTCAATAAAAAATAATCAATAAATTCTTAACGTCATATGTAGTCAATTATAAATATATGTACTTAATATCAGTAACAAAATTTAGTAATAGGTGGTTTATAGGAATTAAGAAAGGTATCCAGTTTTTCAATACCGATAATCTAAAAATTACAGCAACCCAAATATAAATATTAATTTGAAATTTATTAAACTTATATCTCTGAATGAAAATTATTCCCAAATGATCAATAGGTTTGCGTAGTAAGTATACATTTGCGTTACACAAGATTTCTTTATAATACGTTAGTGAAGTACTTAAGCATTACTAAATTGTCTCTAAACTGCAATGTATTTTAACAACGTCGCTATTAACACGCGCATTAAGTATGCGTGTCACGTATGGAACGTTATAGTGCTCCGTATGATTTGAGAATTTGCTACACCGAAATATAGACCGAATTATGAGATGAGAATAATGTGTGAATTAGGGGTAGGTGAAACCTAACTTAGGTCTGAGTTAAATCTTGGGATAGGTCCAAATTTGCACGTGCGTTACCTGTAGGTTCCATTTCGTATGCTGTTAGCAGTCGGATCACTTTGCATGCAAACGATCGCAACTGAAGTAATTGATTTAGACGCGCAAATGGGATCCGAAATCTTGTCGATAAAATTACCAATGCTTGTTGGAGTACCTCGTTAAATTATTATGCGAATTTTACTATTAATTAAGTAGCTACATAAAATAAATCGAGCCTCATTAAGATATTGTGACTCCTTGTTCCGTAGAGCGATAGACATCGAAATTATTTTTTCCAAACGCTCGAAGATATCTTTTCCATGATTTAATGCGATATTTTATACGTTCTTGCCTGTCGAATCATGCCAAAGGGAATAAATATACAAAATCACATTTTGAAAATTACCAGGTCACCCGAATGTACATCTGTTCATCTCGCACGGCGGATTGCTGGGGACCCAAGAGGCAGTTTATTGCGGGGTACCGATCCTCGGGATACCCCTGTTCGGAGATCAGTTCTCAAACATGGCCTACTTCGTGAAAAAAGGATTGGCTTTGCAGCTGGATTTCAGTCAACTTTCATACGAACGAATATCGAACGCTTTGAGCGAACTTCTCGTGAACAAGAGGTAATTAGAAGCTCCGTTCTTCCTACAAATGGAAATTTCGTGGTTCAGATAACGATAGGAAGGACGATGAAGGTTGGAGAGATTAAAATAGAGAGAGAGAGAAAGAGAAAGAAAAAAGAGAGAGACAGAGACTGGTGCACCAAATCGTTTGTACTATCTATATTCGCCGAGCAATAGTACCACGATAACCACCGGGAATATCTACATTGAATTTTAAACGTTTCGCGGTTTTATTTTATGCCAGATTATCCGCCAAAATAATTATGATAATGATTCTGGTATTACTTCGTGATTCACGCGTTCGTTGGAACGTTATCGCCATTAAATTTTACTCTGTTCTAATCCTTAGAAGATTATTTTGTAAGGTCACCATTAATTGAAACGGACGCATTACTTTATTTATAGCATCGTGATTTTCTTCGTAATCTGGATTATAGCTCGTTTAACATTCTCCGTAAAATACGTTTTGATATTTGAAAAGTATTTAATGTTGCTCAATTTAAAAAGTTAACACGTCTGAATTTATTTCGAGATTTTCTTCTTTTATGTACAATTTTCTAAAGAATATCGTCTGATTCGCAGCTATAAGGAAGCAGCACAGAAAGCTTCTCTGCAGTTCAAAGATCGACCGATTCCACCATTGGAGGAAGCCACCTATTGGATAGAATATTTAATTCGTCACGGATCGAATTCCCTGAAGACAGAAGCTTCAAATTTGTCGTGGTATCAATATCTGTTACTGGATGTGATATTCGTAATCACAATACCGATACTGCTTATCGTTTGGATCGTATATAAATTATTGAAGTTGATTTTGTGTCGAACAAGGACCATAGATCGTGAAAAGAAAACGAAGTGATCACTAAAATACTGTTTTATTTTTGTACGGGATTTGTATAATTTACACTGCATAATTTCTTATGTACTCTCTGCATATAAACATTTATAGCCCTTTGTCTGTTAAAAAGTAAGCACTATGCGGAATTTATTTCACGCGAACGATACAATCCACAAACCAGAGTTTTTGTACCACTTATGTGGCTTATTTTTATAATACTAAATGTGTTTTTGTTGCGTCGAACTACAATAATTTAAAAATTCAATTCTTTCGAGTCAAACTTTGCTTTATGCAAAAGTATAAAAAAGATTGTAAAGCTAAAAGTAAAAGATTTCCTTCAAAGATGAAGTCAGTTCGACTATTATTATCCGAGTTACTCCCACCCACTTTTCTGAAAAATGTAATTTCGAGTAAAACGTGTTTAAAGTTCGACTGACGTCTATTCGAGCCATGCTGGGTATACTTGCTCTCTTTATGCACCGTAATCTTCAAGCCTTCGTAACTTTCACAATTTTTCAAATCCACCAAAAATCAAATACTGCTGTACTCTGTAAATTTCGAACTATCGATTTACGAGACAACAAATTTTTCCTAATTTTTTCATCGAAATTAAAAACAACTATCCCCTCGAAAATAAATTAAAATTAGAATTCCGTCAAATATTTCCTACAATCCCAATATTTCTACATGCATTTACGATGAAAAGATCTAATAAGATGGAATTGAAAAATTCTGGAAAAATCACGATGCGCCGCGACGAATTTTTTCGCATTATTCTGTAAATATCTTCAATTTATTCTAAAATATTAATGCAGTTAAATCATTTTCCTTAACATATTATTTAGTACTCAAATATGAACTTATCCGTAATGTCATAATGTATGTTCAATCTCTTTGTACGTAGTCGGAAAATCGTTGAAATTTATTTTTGTAATCTGGCAGGTGCAAAAATTAATTTCACAGTTTGATGCGTAACATATACACACTGCATAATATGTTTCATTGGTTCCTGCTGGTACACATGTTTCAAATCCAATTACCACTGACAGATTTTGTTCTTTGAAATGTGAACACATCTCGTTTAAATTATTCGAAATCAAACATATTCGAATGTGCATTTTTAAACTTTACTCGCCCTATTTCCAAATAACATATCAAGTTTTAGTCTTTACACTATTTCACAGATTTTTCATTGAACTTTCTTCAATGCTGCCCCAATATTAAATAATTGGAGCTCTTAATTCTTAATTCCTCCACGTTTTCAAATTAATATTCCTCATAAATTCTCAACGAGGCGCATGTCAAGAGAATATGGACGCTAATTTAAGAGAGGAATATTATTTTCGTGAAACCAATATCGGCTAGGCACTAGTATGCTCTTCTACGTTAGCATGCCTAAACATCAGGTCTTTTCATTAATCCCAAAATGGTTTTAAATAATCATCCAACATTTCCACGTTGAAAATTTTTGCATTTACCAAAAAATAAGCTCACATCGCTGAATTATTATCGAAATGTTATCGAGTAATGGCGATAACGAGTAATATTTTATTCGTAGCAACCGAGTCAATTATGCCTGAATGACACGACAGAGTCAAGTAATCCGATACTGCATCTTAGATAAGACAGGTTTTCAAGAAATTTTGTAAGACGTCACCGAGAAATCGTTGAAAGGCAAATTAAATAATACTGCAGCGAGCACAGTGTTTTAAAAAAGTTAATTACAACATTTTATTTACCATATTACACGATAGAAAGCCACGGATGGGCGACGATTTCGAGCAAAAGCCACTGTAAATAAACAGCACTGTTGAACAAACCGAAAACGATTTACGGTTCAAGTATCTGCATCAACTTGAATAATCGTCTTCGTCGCGTTTCCATTGATTTAATGTATTCATTTGGTAAGTTCGTTTTTGGCGTAGAGCGTGCATTTAAACGCAGCCCCGACCGTGGCCTTAGAATTTTAGTTGCTCTAACAAAGAAGAGAAAACGTCGTTATACTAGTTATAAGAGTCGCCTTACACCGCGAAAAGAAGCTTTTGCATATTCCAGCGTTATATCACTCGCGCTTTATTATGAATGCGCGGACGTGGAGTAGCAAAAACAGGAAACCGGAAAAGCCCAGCGCGTTTCTCGTTGGGGGAATAAAACCGTAGTTGTAAATTGGGGGAATATCATGTCCCCTTTCGCGACTTCGAATGAAATCGAATAAAGTATTTACCCTTTTTCTCTATAAATGCACCGTGAAATTCATTTAATTTACTTTCTTGAGAACAAATATCGGCGAATAAATGGATATCGGTTTCAATTTTCATTTATTTTAAAAGTAATTCGTCCCTAAGGAAGTTACAGATTCTCAGCGTCGATCGAGCAATTCGTGTTTGAGAATTTTTTAAAGAGAATTGCATTAATGCTTTGCAAGATCGTGCTCACGTTAAACGTTTATGTTGGAAATTAATAGAAAATAAATGTTAAACGCGATTAACTTAAATAAGAGTGCAAAGGGTACAGCTTTGTCGTCCTTCCGTAATTAAATTCAAACGTGCTTTGCTTTGTTAGACGTTACAAATTATTTTTTATTCTTGCTGTTGCAGGTATTGTATGCAACGGCAACAAATATTTCTCGAAATAGAACTTCAACCGAGAAAAAATGCTACCATGCCGTGGGCGTAGAGATTATAAACAGAATGTTTTAAGTTTTAACATACTCATTTAATTTTATAACAATTTTTTTAAGTAACCTTACTTCAAGAAAAAAAAATATAAATACGATATTTCGTTTTTGTTACTTTTCCATGTGTTTTATACAGAAAAAGTATCTCTTACTCGACTTATCAATGATTCTCTAACTTATTTATGGTATTCATTATTTTTCGCCTTTTATCTTTTGTGTAACAACGAACTGAAGCACTATTTCACTGCTTTTGTCGAATAATATTTTCACGAACGATTCAATAGCTCTTTGACCAATTGATATTCTTTTAAACGAGACAAAATGCATGAAACTCGCAAATACAATTTATTTAAAAGCATCTCCATTGTTCTCTGACGCTTGCACGTATTACTTATTTAGTCATGCTGCATGTTATCGAATGAAAGACTTAAATGCATCAGAGTAATAACTAAAGGAAAAGAATATCGAGCCGAGAGTGTCCCTCTGTGCTTTGATAGATTCCCAGTGCAAAATGTTTACATTCTTCAATTACCCAAATGAACTTATAGGGAGGTAGGAAAAGAGTCTCCTGAAAAGAACTTCACGTTAAAATAATTTATCATAGCGAAGAATTACTTTGATAGGCGAGATCAAAGCGAAGTGGACAAAGAAAGATTGCATTTGTGATGATAAATGCTACAGATGCTGAACAGTCCTCCGGATATTTCACGTTAATCAACTCGATTTTTTCATGCTCTGTGGCGCAGAAAAATCCAATAAAAAGTAACCAGACCTCTCAATTTTGGGACGTACCAATCTCTCTAGGGTTTTCATATTTCTAATGAAAGTTTTACTTTTTGCAGGATGCAATCGCGATCAGCCTTCTAAATTTCGTTTCATTTGACCAGGTATTATATTATAGACGCGTAATAAATTTTTACGTTATCTATTCAAAATCTAATCTATATAATATATATTTAATCAAAATTCATTTAGCCAACGGACACGAGTACATATTTGATTTGATTTTGAGCAAATTCAGTGTACGATTTTTGTTTTTTGGTATTTGATATGCATATTTGTTATTTGTACAAATATTAAAGGCTGTTTTGAATAAATATTTAAAAAAAATAAAATTGCACATAAAACGATCCAACAAACTGTTTTCCATTGATAAAAAAAAAGTGTAATTTCTTCTCGCGTATTTTCAGCAATTAATAACTCGGGCACAAAGGGCCAAAGGCAATTTTGTCGTTCTTGATTTTCATTTTATACGTCGTGTAAAAACACCATTAAATGTTTTTGGCACCTGTAGCTACATGCTCTGTATATATTTGAAGAAAATTCCTTTTATGCTTATTATATTGTACAATACGACTTTAGTAAGGTAATCCAGACCTGTGCTTATATCATGTTGCACCTTAATCCCTTCCAAGGGACGAACCGTCGTGAAGGCGACAGAGCTTTAAAAGGTTTGCAGCAGGAGCGGGACAAAGCAAGCGTTATTGTTTCAAAAAAATGAATTCAGAATAAATTGTCTCTAGCCAGCTTTGAACCACTAATGAAGTCGACTTCACACTTCAATTAAAAGTATATGAAACGCAATGGTTGCTGTGTTTTTCAATTGTTAACGCCAGGTTTGAATTAATAAAGGCTGCATCGGTTTCCTAATTAACCATGTTGTTTCAATAGCGAAGCAATTCGTGCAACGTTATTTTTGTCGAGGCGCCCGGTTTACGAAAACTCGACGTGTTCGTTTTCTACCGTGCTCATTAACCGCGTCTCGGGCTTTCTTTTTCGTCATTCCGCAACAACAAGAAACAACAGAAAGAGGGTGGACTGCGTCTAATGAGCCTCTTGCTCTCATCCGTGGATGAGCGCTCCTGTTTAGTCTCACCTGAACGTCGAGGCGCACTTGGATTCGTGAATAGAATAATTCCGCAAGCTCAATTAATAAATTTGTCATTTATCTTCGTCAGGGGAATTCTTGGATTCGGAATACGAACTATGTATCAGCAGAAACACGAAATTTGGTATTCATGGGGATTACAAATTCTTTCAACTTTCAATTTATTTTTCCGATGTTGCAGTGTTTTCGAACCTTATCGAGTCTTTTATGATAACCAAACTATGGCATCCCCTTCGCTGAAAGATATTAATATAAGAAGGAAACATATTAAAAATAAGTAATTCAAAATGTAATTTTAACCTAATGCTAAAATTAATTTAAATTTTATTGAAATATAATGTTGTACTTGCAACTGTGGAAGCAGCTTTAAACTTATCAGATGAGTGCCTGTTGAAGCTCTTACGTCATGATGCACACGAAGGGCTTTTATTTAATTTTTTTAAATTTTCGCGATGAAATTTTTTATAAAAATGATTCCAACTAAAAATAACGTTCGCGACCCCCTGGAAGATTCTTCATGACCCTCTCGAGGGTCGTGACCCACAGGTTGGGAACCAGTAACACGGTAACGCATCTAAGGGGATGCAAGGAAGCGAGTGCATTCTCCGGGTTACAAATATGTATTTTTTAATCATTATAAATTTTGTATATACGCAACAAAACAAGAATACTTCATCGACCTTGTTTAATAGTAGGTCGTAAGCATTTTTACGAGTTCTATATTTTATTTTTATTTATCATGACATATACTTCGATCTTCGATTTTCGATATATGTACGTACGTGTAAATGTTAAATTTATTTTCCTCTGTGAAAATGGTATCATCTTACCAAATTTTTATTACAAATTGTTAAAATAATTAAATTGCACTGTAATAAATTTAAGCATTTAATACGAATTTACAGAACGAATGCATTTTTTTACCCTTTAATAAAATGAATCTTTTACCTAATAATATTACATTAAACTCTGCAACGTAAAATCCATTTTAACGTTTAGCTTTATAAACTCCCTGATAAACAAAATTACATTTTGTAAAAATATTGAAAATAAAACATTTGTCTGAATGATTTATTTAACTGAAGTTTCACACTATTGCATAACACTTTATTAACAGTGGAATGCTGGCAAAATATTTCGCTAATCAGTAGGAATAGATTAGATAGGTTTATAGGTTAATTCTGTCAATTTGACAATTCGATAGAAATATTATATTCTATATGAGTTCAACGTGGACGAATTTTTTTGCGAGACATGGATATCTACCGATACGCGAGGTACGATTATACTTTTGTAAATTAATTTTCGACAACTACCGACGGTTATGTACGATTTCATAATGTGTTGCAAAATAAAAAATATTTTCATTTTAAAACTTTTGAGTACATGTTAAGGACTCTAAAATTTAATTTTAACGATACTTCATTTTTATTCAAAATTCTATTTAACCTATTGCTTTCTCTTTTACGACGTTGTAGGATGATTGTTCATACGTTTGGCAAATTCCCTCCGCAGATCGTTGCAAATGGGTAAAAAGCACCGCCGACTGTTCCACGGACTCCATATTTCAATACACAGAAATTTTATTTTGCACCTTTCATACAAGTAACATGGCTCTGTTCAGTTTTGGATTGATACTCATGATCCTATGGCTTCTGTACCTGTTTTTGATTCTAGGAACCACGGCGGACAACTTGTGAGTAATCTTAAAATGTAAAAGAAACCCTATTCCACAAAAATTATTATAATTTTTATCTCTTCGTCACTTGGCAGAATTTATTTCAATATTTAAAGACTCTCAACGTTTCTCTTATTACATTACTAGCAAACAATTTGTAATATTTTTTAAAACCCCAGAAAACCTGTAAACATTTTCATGCACGAAGAAGTGAATTATTTCAAATAACGTGCGTCTCTAAAACATTTTAATTTCGCACAGGAAATATTTCTGAAAATTATTCATAATTTCGATCGTGCTCGTATCTTGCATGTTTCGCCTTGTATTTCCAACGAAAAGGGATATTACTAAAAAATTGTTAGTAAAACGTTTATTGGAAGGATCGGATCTCTATGGTTTTCCATAAAGCTTCCGATGTCGATGGTCACACGCCGCTTTAAGTCTTTCACGGCTCACTGTGTCCGGGAAAGGGTGAATTATAGCTCATCGTGTGCGTGCGAATCGACGTATTCTCACTTGGGAATCGATTCAATTTTAATCCAAACGATCGAAGGAGCTTTATGTCTGTCATTAAAAAGAAACGATTCCCATCTGCAGCGCCATAACTGACCGCTTCCCTATCGTAATAAAATTCTAACACGCTGGTGATAATAATCTTTCGACAGTCTGCTGTCTACGACTCGTATAATTTAAGCGCTACGTAAGTAAGCATTCATAATCTGTTACCGGTTTCGGTGGCGATGCCCGATCGATCTAACTCTTATAACCGTTAAATCAGAATGTTCGAAAACACATAAACGTTCGTTTTACGCGAGGAACAGTGAAACGAAAAGATATATATCCAACAATGACTTTCACAGTAGCATCATTATTTCTAAATTACAGTGTCGTGTAATATTGAAAGATTTTAATATCACGATTTCTCTCGAAGTTTAACCGATGAATTTTTCAAATTTACGATTCGCGAAACGAACATTTTTACGAATGGAAAGATAATTAATAGCGGATTAAATCGCGAAAAAGTTCAACGTTTCGTCCAAAGGTCTTTTCTTTGAACGGGCGACTCGCAGAATGAATTAATCTTGAATTCTCTGTCCGAGCCGTCGCATTTTCCGTCACTTCTCTCCCGGATCTAATCGAAATCTGTGCAAAAGAGCGTTCAGCTCTAAACGTGCGCCCGATTGGCCCCTGATTCATTTAGCGGACCCGGCAGCTGCATTTACAAGTGCAGCCGCATCGAAATTCGATTCCCGATCTAGGAAAGGATAACGTTGACGTACTCGAATACATCGGTACACGCTAGAACGACCGGAAATAAAATATCAAATACAGCGGATGGCAAGGAGCAACTTCGATGGTGTTCCGTGTCCGGAAATCAAGTATCGAGCAGAATCGTTCGTCGAAAATTCATCGTTAATACGCTCTGTCCCCTATTATACGTTTTGACCTTTTCCCACCAGCCGAATCTCCCAACGCACCGTACACACTCGACATATCTTTTTTCATTCTTCCCTTTCCGTGCAGCTTCTGTCCGTCACTGGCCGTGATCGCCAATGTAATGCGGCTGTCGGAAAATATAGCCGGAGTGACGATATTGGCATTCGGAAACGGTGCTCCTGACATCTTCACGTCCATCGTATCGGGCAGCGAGGAAGGAATAATAATGTTCACGGAATTAATAGGCGCCGGTGTCTTCGTGACGGCGATTATCGCCGGTTCAATAGCAGTAGCCAAACCTTTTCGAGCCAATTTGAAATTCCTTATGAGGGACGCTTGTTTTTATATCCTTTCCGTATGCTGGATCAGCTACGTCGTGAGGGACGAGACCATTCATCTTTGGGAAGCTTGCAGTACGTACGCCATCTTTCTTCAGCGATTTGCACGATTTTATTTCAAATAACTCTATAATCGTTGCGAGTGTATCTACATTGGCTCGCGAAAGTATTCCAACAATGATATATTCCTAATTGAAATTGACACAAACCGTACAGTATAGTAATATATGAGAATAACATGTAAAAATGTCACTGAATTCAAATAATATATATCCAAGTTAGAAAGAATAAATTAGATTTACTAGCAGATCGTAGGTCACAAAAGTATTCGAACTGTACATTTAACATTAGTTAATAACAACATTAATTGGACTAATCAAATGTTCAGGATGAAGTTGACCCACCTTTGCTAATTTTGTCGTAATACTTGTGTCTATAGACGGCCATACTTCAACAATGTTCTGTTTCAATTCTTCTTTCGATGTAATCATTGTATTTCTTAACTTTCTTTCTACCTCATTCCATAGGTTTTCAATGGGATTATGATGAGGACTTTGTGGCGGATGTGGCAATGCGTGTGGAATGTTGTACAATTATTACCGAATGCTTCGAATTTCGAAGTAATAATATTCCGGTAGACCAAATTTACTTAGACTATCTTCTAAATTTTCTTTCGAAATTTTCTAATATTTCATTTTATCTATAATACAATCTCATCGATGAATGCGAGATTTCCAACTCCATTTGATGACATATAGCCCCACATCATCACCGAGTCACCATTATGTTTTACAGTTGGCTGTAAATTCTTTGATCGTATTTCGGTGTTCTGTGTCCTCTATACGTTTTTGCGACATTTTCTTAGAGAATAATACTGTATTCCAAAAAGAATAATCCTTATTAATATAATCTTTGGCATATTTGAGACGTAATATTTTATTTTGTTGGCTGTTATACGGTTTTCCTCTCAGAACTCGTGCATTAAAGCCGTGTTTTCTTAATAACACTGTTCTACAAATTCAATTTTTTTTTCTGTTTTTCAATATTCACTAGGTGATTCTTGTAGAGCTTTGTACCCTAAACACGAATCTGAAAATGGAATTGCTGTATCACCCTCAGTTTTCGAAAAACACGAGTTTTTGTGAAAACGTACAATTTTGGGCAAAAGCGAGGTATTACGCGAAAATTAAAAACATCAGACAGTTCCAATTAATCTTAAAAGATAGAGGAGAGATTCCTGAATATGCTAACATCGATAGTTATAATATTTTGTACTTTTGAACGGTTGTAAATGATCGCCAAAGTTTGAAAAAGTGTCGAAGTACATACTTTATACACAATACTTTTGCATATTTACGAAAAGTTGTTTACCTGACACGAAATCTATACACAGGATCTGATTCTGCAGACATTTCTGAAGAAGAAACTGACCAACAGAAGTGTAAAAGCTGTTCTCAATTGTCACAGGTCGAGAAAATGTGTATTTGCAACGCGTGCACGACGTTTGACCGCCACGCGGCCATTGCTCGCTTATCTCGGCGCGGCAGTGCCGTAGCTACCTACAAGCGAAACTAGTATAATGGTGCAATAGGGTATGCACTTTGTATACATATAGTATGTTTGATTTTTTTTTTGTAACTTTTATTGTTTAATATATTTGTATAGTCTAGGATACTAATCACTGAATTATATTTTCAAAATCCATGTAAACTTATCATTGGAATCACTCGAACATGTACGCTTTTCTAAGAAAGATCTGGAGTAAATCCTTGCTATTCACACTTCGCTCTTAGGAATATTATTCCTATTCTGTGAGGCAACCCAACAATAAAATGTTGTTTATTTTTTTACGGCTTTATATTTAAAAAACCATTCATATACGTACAATGAACATCGAAATTGTTTAGAAATGGAAATGATCGAGAAATGTTTTGTACAAATCCACAAACAGATTAAAAAATCAAAAATGATAAACATATACAGGAATTAGGAGCCTAAGATATTATCGGTGTCGCATCCATTATGCGTAGCTACGGCACTGCCGAGCCGAGGTAGGCTAGCGATGGCCGCGTGGCGGTAAAACGCCGTGCACGCGTTGCCAATACACATTTTCTCGACCTGTGACAATTGAGAACTGATTCTATACTTCTGTTGGACAGTTTCTTCTTCAGAAATGTCTGCAGAATCAGATCCTGTGTATAGATTTCGTGTCAGGTAAACAACTTTTCGTAAATATGCAAAAGTATTGTGTATATAGTATGTACTTCGACACTTTTTCAAACTTTGGCGATCATTTACAACCGTTCAAAAGCACAAAACATTATAACTATCGATGTTAGCATATTCAGAAATCTCTCCTCTATCTTTTAAGATTAATTGGAACTGTCTGATGTTTTTAATTTTCGCGTAATACCTCGTTTTTACCCAAAATTGTACGTTTTCACAAAAACTCGTGTTTTTCGAAAACTGAGGGTGATACAGCAATTCCGTTTCCAGATTCGTGTTTAGGGTACGAAGCTCTACAAGAATCACCTAGTGGGTACGGAAAAACAAAATTCGTGTTGAACAGTGTAATCTTCGATATGATTCGGAACTATTGCTACCAATTTTTATGCACGAGGGATCTTTTTTAATTTTTCGAATCATTGTCTTTTCTTCTCTGTCCGATAACGTTCTTGGTCGACCACAAAAACACAACAGTGTTTATATGCAATGGTTTCTACATTATTAAAGTTTTTAAGAATATAGTGAATCTTGGATTTACACCTGTCTACAAGTTTTGCAATTTCGCTCATAGATTTTCCTTCTTTGTGCCATTTTTCTATCAATTTTCTATTCAAACGCGAGTTTGGAACAGTGTTTCTCTTATTGTTAGACCAACTGTGTATAAATTGAACAGAGTTTGTTTACATTCGTCACTGGCTAGAAATATTATTTATACCACGGTTGACCTTACAGTTGAATACTTTTGTGACCAACGATATGCTGTTAAATCTAATGAAGTCTTTCTAACTCGGATATAATTTGAGTTAGTGAAGTTTCTGTCAATTTCAATTAGGAATATGTCATCGTTCGAATACTTTCGTGAGCCTGTATACAGGGTGTTCGGCCACCTCTAGCAAAAATTTTAATGAGCGATAGTAGAGGCCAAAATAAGACGAAAATCAAGAATACTAATTTGTTGATGGAAGCTTCGTTAAAAAGTTATTAACAATTAAATTCAAAAATTTCAAATCGTTCTGGAAAAATTATTTTCGGTTGCGGGGGTCAACTACAATCATTTTTGGTGAGTACACATACCTCCGAAATCCTATCTACTTTCGAGAAAAAAAATCGGGTAGGTGCTGAAATTTTTCGGCGAAAAAAAATTTTTCAAATCGTTTTAAAAAAATTATTTTCGGTTGCGGGGATCAATTACAATCATTTTTTATCATTACACATATCTCCGAAATCGTACGCACTTTCGAGAAAAAAATTCCTTACTGAAAATCCAATTAGGTGCCTAAATTTTTCAACGGAGAAAAAAAATTGCAAATCGTTGTGGAAAAATTATTTTCGGTTGTAGGGTTCAATTACAGTCATTTTTGGTGAATAGACATACCCCCGAAATCTTGCGCATTTTCGAGAAAAAAATTCAGTAAGAGCGGCACTTTAAACGTTAATAACTTTTTAACGAAGCTTCCACCAACAAATTAGTATTCTTGATTTTTGTCTTATTTTGGCCTCTACTATCGCTTATTAAAATTTTTGCTAGAGGTGGCCGAACACCCTGTATATAAACGATTGTATCACGGCAATATCGGTTTCAATTTTTATTCATTTTAAAAATAATTCATCCCTGAGGAGGTTATCAATTCTCAGACGATTCGTGTTTTGAAAATATGTATCGACGAAACACTTTAAGTACAAAGTATAAATATACTTAAAAACATATAATTTCTCCACGAAATTAAAAAAATATATAAAGTGTCATACACTGCCTTCCAAAAATAAACAAGTTAGATACTCGCGTGCTACTAATTCATATCTGACAGAATATGATACATCAAAATTTATTTTAAAAATAATTCATCCCTGAGGAGGTTATCAATTCTCGGACGATTTGTGTTTCGAAAATATTTATCGACGAAACATTTCAAGTACAAAATATAAATATTACTCGAAAGACACCATCGATGCAAAGAACGTGTTCTAAAATTTTTAAAAGCAACACGGAAGAGGCGAGAGCACTTTGCTTTTAACATCGTATTATACAACGTAGCTAAACTTCGTTCGACTAAAGGAGGCTTTAGAAAATGTGTCGATCGAAAATTGCACGGTCAACGCGTGAAACGGATATACGCGTTATCTCCGGTTTCTAAATAAGCCGCGTAGAAAATGGAAACGTTTATCCATGAGGAGCCATAAGTGCGCGGTTTAATTCTGCAATAACAATAACTCCAGAGCGAATTTAATTAAGCAAAGCTGCGATCTCTCTGCCGTTGGTTTCCTCGCCATCTGGCCACCGACGAATTTCTACCGGGTACATACTCCCCCGATAAGCCACTTAAAAAAAGAGGGACGAGAGAAAAAAGAAAGGAGGGACAATCGTTGATCCGAATTAAATCGATGGAAGAAAATTTCAAATGGCGACGAAAGAAAACAATTAAACGGTTTCACAAAAACAATCGAAACTCCGTTTTCATAACTCCACGTCGAATCGAACAGCTCGTTTTCACGGTCTCGAGTGGTCCTTCTCGAAGGATAGGAGCGCGAATCGAATGAAAAACGTTCGTTTCGACGTTATGAATTTTTTGGAACGAAAACGAAACGTCCGTCGGACAGCAAAACAAAACGGTACACAATTAGTAAGTCCGTTTTGACCGTCGCCCTAATTTAACAGGAGATTTACAATGCGCTCGAAACTTTTTCCGTGTCATATCGCGATTCCGCGGCAATTAATTACGCAGGCTCGCGTGCGTTGCGACCGCCGGGGCTGCTGCGTTGCTTTTTAATGCTAAAACATTTAAATTGCAGGTTTCGTTCTCTGCTACGCGTTGTTCATCGCCGTGGTGGTGATAATGCAAACGTACGACAACAGGGAGGCGAGCTTGAAAAGTACGTTGGACGCGACTTTTTGGGAAAACCAGCGGCGTAGTCGAATCCCGGGAACGAAGAGTTTTTCGAGCTTCCGCCGCGATAAAAAATTGAATAACTCGGCGAACTTATTTGAAAGAATAACGTTCGGTGTAATTTAAACGCGAGAAATCGCCGCTGCAACCCGGCAATGCTGTATTATTCTTGAAAATGGAAAGGAGGTATAAATCGGGAGTGATTGAATTGCTCTGAAATTATTGTTTTTCAAAAATATTAAAGAACTGAAGCTAGTTCCTTCCAAAGAAGAAAGTAATAAATAATAAATGTACATTCGTTTAGTCAGTCAGTTAAATTTGAAGAAAAACAAATGTTTTTCGAAGTAATTTCAGAACAAGCAAGAATTGCGTTCGAACGCTGTAAGCTGCTGCTTGACATGCAGAATGTAGAGTATTTTCTATTTTCGGTGCTTAGTATGCGCCGGAAGTCAATCATTGCGTTTCTGTTCGACGTCTGAAAGTATTTTGGGAGCAATCCGTGAACCGTGGAAAACAAAAGAGTCGCCTACACCGCTGCAGTTATCGATCCTTCGTCTCGAAGGCTTCCTTACGTACTTTTACAGGCAGGATCCCAAGTGTACCGGATCCAGACGTCCTGCGCACTTACTTGGCGAACAAGGATACAGCCGCCATTCCTAAAATTCCCGCGAGGTCTCGTGCATCTGGCTTGCGTACCAAGCTGGGTACGTATGTTGTTGCTTTTACGATTGAATATGCGTTCTACCGAATTCCATTAAATTAAAATCGAACGTCTCGTTTTCATGAATCTTTGACTCGTCCTTTCGAGAGGGTTCCGAGGTCGAGTCGAAATATGGCCACTCGACGCCAAGTACTACGAAGTGCAGTCTATTGAATCGTTCGATTCTTTTCTCCTTAGGATCCTTTTCGAATATTCGATCGAACATTACTATCGCTAACATAACTGCAATTTTGTCATCGATGACTAAAACATCCCTCAGATACTATACTGAATTATTGATACTCTGAGGACTGGCACTATAACTTTGATAAGATTTAAATTGAAATATAAAGGGTGTTCGGCCACTTCTCGGAAAAATTTTAATGGGAGATTCTAGAGGTCAAAATAAAACGAAAATCAAGATTACCAATTTGTTGATTGAGGCTTTGCTAAAAAGTTATTAACGTTTACAGTTCCATACCGACCGAAAAATTTTTCGGCGAAATTAAAAAATTTTAAATCGTTCTGGAAAAATTATTTTCAGTTGCAGAGGTCAATTACAATCATTTTTGGTGAACAGAGATACCCCTGAATTCCTACGCATTTTCATGAAAAAAATTTATTACCGAAAATGTAATGCCTGACCATACATGGCATTTTTCCCTGAAATTTCATGCGTATGTTTAAAACATCATAACTTCTGAACGGATTGGAGGATTTTAATGTTTCAAAATGCAAATAACGCGTATTTTAGTGAAGAATTTTTATAAATTCTAACAATATTGAAAAAGCTGTTCCTTGACCCCGTAAAGTGAAAAACCCCCATAAAAATGGTCCAATATTCAAACAGCCATAACTTCTACAATAGCAAATATATTGCGATGAAACTTTTTTCTGACGTAGAGCTCATAGGTACCTGTAAAAAAGTATTAAACAACTTTTCTGTAAAACGTCAAACAAAATTAGTAAAAATCAAAAACGAATTTCCAAGAAAAATCGACAGGGTGTAGGTGCCTAAATTTTTCAATTATAATAATTTTTGGTCAATAAACATACCCTCAAAATCCTAAGCACTTTCATGAAAAAAATTCTTTACTGAAAATGTAATGTCTGACCAGAAATGAATATTCTTGATTTTTGTCTAATTTTGGTCACTAGGATCTCCCATTAAAATTTTTTTCAGGGATGGCCGAACACCCTGTATAAGATTTCTTCGATCTGTTTCTTTCGACAATTTTTAAAAAACGAAAATATTTTACAAAATTGAAGAGCAGCCGAATTTTTCAGTGATTAATTCTAACCTTTTCAGAGTGAATTGGGGCAGCAAAGAAATAATATTCCGAATTTCTGGGTCGGGGATAAAATATATATAAACAGCAGCATCGTCGGTGCCCTACGACAGCTAGCAATAGCGAAGAAAGTGTATCTGTTTTAGTGTCCACGTCACTTTACACCGAGTCTCTTTTCACCGAAAGGTAGATTGAATGAGTTCAAGCGAAACGAGAGCGAGGAATGACGAGAAGACGCTCAAGCGCCTGAATTGTCCCAGTTTTGGAAAAATTACAATCTAAATGCATGCCATCGGCGCGGGAACGGATCGCAGAGGATTCAGAAGAAAGTTTTCAAGAGGTCGGTAGGATTTCTGATCACCAGCTGGAGTCTCTATTAAACCGACCTCTTCGAGAAGTCACCGATGGTGCATTGGAAAGTTCTCAAGAGAGTGATGGGATTTCTGATGACCAGTCTCTGGTGAATTCGTTATATCGATAGGTCTCCTGTTTCCTAGGTGTTTTATTTGACCGAGAAATATGAATTCGTCAAATAAATCACTCGGTAAACAAAAGACGAAGATAACGAGGCAACCTTTGAGAAATAGCTTGATTGGAATGTAAAGAAGGAAACGAAGAGAGTAAAAATAGGGGGAAAAATTGAAAAAAGCAGATAAAGCTGGAAAGTTGCAAAAAGCAGCGGAAAAAAAATCTCTAGAAAAGGAAACCCAAGTTTTAAGCGTATCAGCTGCAAAAAATCGGATCACTGCTGAAAGTTGTTCCGGAGGAAGTTTATGAGGAAGATTTATCAAATGCGGAAATAACAGAAGCACCCAGCGTCCCTGATTTTTGTTTACGCGTTAGTCATTTCTATATTCGAAACTGGATATTGATGCAATTCAACGTCGCTATAGTAAGAAACGGGACGCAGTTTACTTTGCCGGAAAAATAGTGGCCGTCACTGATGATGTAACGGTAAAGTTTTTAAGAAAGAAAGGAGTGAACTTTATTTTCCCGAAGGTGGCAGACACTTGCTCCGTTGGAAGGTAGACAATACAGAAAATCTTCCTGGAACTTTGTCTTCGCAGTGAACTGCACTTTTTCAATTTAAAATTTCCATCTTATCTTATCGTTCTGTAATGCTTGCCATTTTCGTAATAAAGTTCTTTTGTTTGGCGATTTTTTCTGACTCTGATCTTCGTACGAAATTTATTCGTTTCATGATTTCTTCGTTTCCCTAACCCTCTGTATATTTTAATCTTCTGCGTTTATAAATTAGTTGATTACTTCTCGGCTATACTGTGGAAAACTTTGTCCACGACTGATACTTAAACGGTTGAAACAATCTTTAGTTTACATTATTATTCTATTCTTCAAATCCTCAGAGTTACTGTTACTAACTTTTCACGATGAACATATTTACTGAACTGTAATTTATTATGATGAAAAAAGAATGTTCTGCTTCCAATACAAATTACTGATTTTAAAAACATATTCCTTTTTTAAATGTATAGGTATCAAAGTTTGTATACCGGAAACGTGTTGTTTGTATTTTTTGCTTATTAGATATTGCAATTGCTACGGAATTGAAAAGGGCAAACGTCAGAAATAATTTGGGATCGGCGGAGGAAGTAGAAGAAACAGAAGATACTGACAGGCCGAAGGGCCTTTACAGAGAATTTCTTTACGATGTTAATCCAATAGATGAAGGGGATTGGACGAGCGCGAATTGGATCTTTAAAATCATTTTAATTATCCGTGCACCTGTCATGTTCCTACTTCAATTATTTATCCCACTTGTGAACCCAACCGCCGCAAAGAATGGCTGGTCCAAGCTGCTAAATTGCTTCCAGCTGTGTGTGACACCGACGTTGGCATTGTTTCTATTAAACGGTTAGTCGTATTAATTGTCACGACTCCTACGACTGCCGTTATAAATTGTCCCCCGCTAATAAAAGCTCGAGCTTTCCCAGATATATTTTCAGACGCGATGAAATACGAGGTCAACGTTGCTTTTTAACTTACAAATCGACGGTGTTTAGTCGAAATTAAAACAAATTACCAAACATTTGTATCCCAATGGATAGATTAGTCTCGATGGAGTACGAAATTTAATCTGTAATTCCCTACAACTTGCTTCTCGTAAATTTCACTTTGAATCTCGTACTGTGTAGTTTTTCCAAACATTTTATAAAATGATTTTATAAAATCCTTGATTGCTCTAATTTTGTTAGACTGTTTCAGAACTGTAGATACGTGGTTAATAATACACGTACAGAGAAACAGTAAAGTCTTATTAAAAATTCAGCTTTTTATTTTGCAATTTAATATGCAATTCTCTGCACGATTACACGTACCACAGAATGATTGAATTTTTACTATGCCGTTAGCTCGCCTATACATAAAATGAATATCGTTTCCGCGTTTGAATAACTGTAAGGAGTCATTTTAAATCAGTACAGGGACCCAGCAAAGACCAAGGGAAATCACTGCATGCAAGGAAGAACGACCAGCTGAAAATATCACGACCCGCGCCGAGTGTCTGTACTACTGAGACTGTAAATAAAAATAATATTCGTCAAACTATATCCATCATTTTAAACGACGTGTATTCGTACAAAGAATTACAGACTCACGAAGTAAAAAGTTAAAATAGTTCAAAAATATATAATTTGCATTTTATACGAATAGTTTTAATTACGTTAGTACATACTGGTTTCCTTGCGAGCAATTATCAACGTGATAAAAGAGAGTAGAAACTGTTAATGGAACGAAAAGCTACGATTCGTCAGCTACGACCATTGTTTCATTTTCACCTTCCATTTGCAGTCTGGCACAGACACATTGGCCCTGTTCCAATACTGCCGATATTCCTCGTTCTTGGCACTGCAATTGGTGTAACTGTGTTTCTAATAACCCACGTGGATCGCGTACCGAAGTACCATAATGTGAGTACTTTTTCTACCTTTTCACGACTCGCGTCGACCATTCGGCACTCGATGAGCTCTCGCAGGGCAGTTTCCCCGTTACCGGCGCGCAACGTATTAATTGCAGGTTTTTGCATTCGCGGGATTTCTGGCCGCCATGCTGACAGTCTATTTGATAGCCGGGGAGGTGATGGCAGTTCTCCAATGCGTAGGATACGCTTTCAGTATATCAGATGCCATGCTCGGTATCACGTTCCTTGCGTGGGGTAACAGCGTAGGCGGTGAGTGTCGAAACAATGTTACCGTAGAACCACCTCGTTTGAGAATTAATTACCCGTTAATTGGTAAAAATCGACTTTCGTGGGTATTAAAAGATTCTTCGTCGATTCTACTCTAAATTTTTTATCTTATTTGTAATTTAGTTATTTTTTGTATACTCTTTGACAGTCCAAGTTTATTTAACAAACAGCGAAAGATGCGAGAAAACTTTTGCATTACAGTAATGGTTCTTAAGATGAAGTGAAATTCGACACCGTCGGATCTTAGTATCACGTTTTTCTGAAAATCCTACAGTTGGAAGGGATAGAAATGCTCGACATACGAATCACGTGGTCATTTTAAGAATCATTACTTTATGTGCAATTCTCTGTTCAAGATCGTCACCGAACTTTACAGAGATTGTGTTAATTGAAAAGAATCAACTATCGTGGGTATTAAAAAATTCTTCGTCGATACTACTCTAAATTTTTTACCTTTTTTTGTAATTTAGTTATTTTTTGTAAACTCTTTAAAAGTGAAAGAAGCGAGAAAACTTTTGCATTACAGTAATGATTCTTAAGATGAAGTGAAATTTGACACCGTCGGATATTAGCGTCACTTTTTTCTGAAGATCCTACAGTTGGAAGGGATAGAAATGCTTGACTTACGAATCATGTGGGCATTTTAAGAATCGTTACTCTATGTGCAATTCTCAGTTCAAGATCGTCACTGAACTTTACAGAGATTGTGTTTATTTGATTACGAAGGAATAATCTATCGACTACTACACTGGTTTCCGAACGCTGCAACGCCACCTCATCCTAATGTTGACTGCTATTTAATGCCGGATGATATTTGTTTGCAGATATGATATCAAACATCGCCATAGCCAGGCAGGGATTTCCACGTATGGGATATGCAGCCTGTTTCGGTGGACCGATGTTCAATACACTGTTGGGATTAGGACTAACTTATGGAATAGCTGCTGGTCGACAACCAGACAAACGCACGAATATGAGAATAAGTGACATGGCGCCCGGTTGTTTCGCCTTCCTATTGTGCTCGTTACTAGCTACTATTATTTACTTGAACATTACGGGAGCAGTTGTTAGAAAATCGTACGGATACCTCTTGTACTCCGTATATTTCGCGTTTATTCTCATTCAGTTCCTGAGCGAATTCCGATTAATCCACCCTCTTGGCACCGATCATCGGCCTGAAGATAAAGTTCGATAATTTTCTTAACGAATAATAAAACACGATAATCGTTTTCCAATGGAATATTTTTGTTTTCATACTTTAAAATTAAAAATAACGAGGATGGCTATCTCATATAATACTTTGTATCGCTCTTCCTTTGACAACCTGACTATAGCCAGAATACTTAAAGCTTGGAAATAAACAAGGAAATATAACTAAAGAACATTTATTTCCATTGACGATCCGTTAAAACGATACACATACAATTGCAAACCACTTGCAGAAGATACTTTACGTTGGCAAACAATTATTGTCATAAAAGGAATATTCACTTAACGAAGGGTCGAGGCACAAACCGGGGAGGCCTTGAATCATGGCGCTTCGTGAATTCTTCATGCATGGCGGAGATTAATAATAAATGATATCATTGCGTCAAGAATTTTCCCAAATCTATGTTATAAGTTATTTATTAAAGGTCGGCGAGGAAGGGGCCATGTTGGACCAAGAACGAGGGATATCTTGGGAAAACAACGTTGCATGGTTCTCTGAATGATACCTACAAACGAACCTACATCCTAACAACGTGGTCGAGGATCCATTTTTTATGAACGAGAGGGAAGACTTCGCAGAAACATTCGCGAACCGTGTACATTGTGTGAGCATGCGAACAAAGAGTAATATGTTAACGTACCAAGGTATTGCGTTTTCAAAAGAAACTAACAAGACGTTAAAAAAGTCAGCGTGTTAGAAAGGGTGGATCATAGTTGATTATAATTTTTCCCCCCAGCAATACAACAGCAAGAAATATTGCAGTAAATAAAAATATCTCCTATGGTTATTTGTATTGATATAATCATCGCGTCGAGCATTAATTAAATGGACAATAGAACTACGTTGGAAGAAACTTGATGAATGAGAAATAGTAAAAGGAAATTAAAATAAAAGAGATAGCAATGAAATATTACTTTCCAGTTGCAAAGATTAAGGTATATCGTCGTACTAGTGTATATTTGATGAATTACTGTTTAATTGCAGAGAAATTTGATTTAGATGTAATGTGTAGTAAAGGACTTCTAGAATAAAAGTTTCTTCCAAAGAATTGCTCTATATTTATGTTTTGGAGCGACTTATCACGTGGTAGATAAATTAACTAAAAATCCGAACGCAGACATTGATTTTTGTTATCTTTTACCCAACGAGTGTGTCCCGCGCGAGTACGAACGAAAGTAACTATATCTGTTCAGGTTTATGATGGATTGGATCATGTCGTGATATATCATGTCCAAAAGTGAGAGACCACGTCGATTTTTCGTTGCTAGCAACTATTAAAAATTTTTGTACATTCATTTAAATTCTTGTTAAAAATACACACACTTCCCACGGTTACAATATTTATTTTTATGCATCAAATGAGTTCGAAACGTTTGGAAATTCTGCCCAAAAGCAATGTCGAAAAGTAAATGGAAATACTGGTGGAAAACAATGAACAAATGTTTCGGTTAAATCAACGCAATAATTATTTTACCGAGAAGGACATAAAAAGAAGATTGTTAATTGTGAAACGAAGAGTAATTAAAATGAACTTGGCTTTATTACGGGCCAATTAACATTAACGTTCTCGACCAAAAAAGACTTTCGATCCATTTATGTTACCCATTAATATATGAATAAAGCTAACTTTAATTTGCATTGTACATATCATTATTCAGGAAAAAAACAGTAATTAAAATAAAAGACAAAAGTTCTTTTATTTTCAACATTTCTAGAATTTACATATCTAATCTACATGTATTATAAGTTTATACAAATATGTTTATGTAAAAGAAAAACATTTTAAATACGTTTTCGTGTCTGATATCGATACATTCGTAATTTGAAAATTATTCAAAAAGGAAAGGAACTAAAAACATTAATGTTATTGGCTGATAATAATATTACTAATATATTTTGGAAATTTTATAAAAGAATGCACTTATAAATACTCGTGATCTATACTAAGCAAATGGAACCACGCGATTGTTAGGATTTGCTGCAATTGTTGGATTCTATTTAATAATTGATAGGCTCGATTATCGTGTCTTTGTTCTATTCGCTGGTTATCCCGGACGATAAAATATTCTCTCGCTTCCCGACGTAGATACGAAGCTTAATGAAGGATAACTAATGTACGGACCAGCCCTAGCATTACAGTCTAATCTTCTAGTCATCTTATCTAGCTTTGGTGGATTCTGTGTCCGTGGGAGGTAAAAAAAAGCGTTGCAGGGAAGAGCGAAGGCGAGAGAACGGCCAACCAAAACGATGGCCAATTTGTAAGTGTGCAAGTTAACGAGCCCATTCACCGAAACGGCTATTCGTCTTTCGGGTAATGCAATCAGCACATTTCGCGCGTACTTTTGCATTCGTTTCTGCCATCGCAAGCACCCCGAACACCTCTGTTCTACTAATTACCTATAAAATTAACGACACGTCTCCCTGTTCGAGTCGATGTCAGGCAAGTCTGCTAGCAGATAATTAACCATATTCCACTGGCGGACGATGTCATTACCGGTAGATTGAAGCAGGCCCGTATTGTTCCGTCGTTAACCCTTTCATTTCCGTCTGCGCCGAGAATTTCGACGTCTCGAAATATTCGTGCGAGCTGCACCTTGAATGCTAGTTGCCAATTACCGAATATAATGTATGCACAAGCCTCGTATAATTAATCAAAGGATTTCAGCCACGCTCTCGCGACGACATTATTCGAAATACGTAGACGTCGTTGGTTACAAATGTTGCAATCATTTTGGAATTCGATCGTTTAACTGTTACTTCAGTTCCCTTCACGTCCGTGAGATTTGCACAAAAAGTATTTATATAAAAATAAAATAGAAAAAGATTATTCTTTTTCTTTTTATTCCTATTTTTCTCTCAAATGGCCACTGTTCATTATTTACTGGTAGGCAGCGGCCGGCGACAGGTTGTCAGGTACGAATTAACTTGTACATGGCAATACGTGTTTAACAAGAAATGGCACTTAATAGATGACGATCTACAAAAGGCACGAACATGAGAAAAACTAATTTGCTTCGTTTAGATTCAACATCTCGCCACCGTTTCCGAACTACCCCTTTTAGCAGGAAAATTTAATATAATTTATATCCTCAATAGAATTACGAATAATATTTATATATTTAAAAACTTATAATTTCTCCACGTAATTAAAAAATATATAAAGTGTCGTACAGTGCCTTCCAAAAATAAACAAGCTATCTACAAAAGGTACGAAGATGAGAAAAACTAATTTGCTTCCTTTAGAGTTAACAATTCGTCGCCGTTTCCAAACTGAACTACCCGTTTTAGCAGGAAAATCGATAGAATTACGAATAATATTTATATATTTAAAAACTTATAATTTCTCCACGTAATTAAAAAAATATATCAAATGTTATACACTGTCCTCCAAAAATATACAAGCTACATACTCGCGTGCTTCTAATTCATATCTGACAGAATATAATACATCAAAATTTCATCCTTTTTGCTTTGTTTTTATATGAAGAGCCACGATTACTAGGGCATCGTAAACGAACACTAACATTCATTTGCAATATAATCGTACTGCTCGTTACGCGAAGTAGGTACGCAAAATATCTTGGTAAATTAAATATTTCCCGCATTAACAAACATTAAATAGCAGGAATTCGCGTTCGTTTGATCATGAATATTCACCGACGCGTTATCTGTATCTCGCTTTCGTTCCCAAACAATTTTACCGAGAACCTCAGTCGAGTGGGTGTCTCGTCGTTCGACCCTTATCGGTCGGGACCACTCGTGTTTGTCATTCGTTCAATCTTAGTCCTTGCGATAACATCGCGCTAGCAAATCCATTAGCCATCGCGCCTAACACCCCAGATTTCACGTTTTGATACGAGTAACGCGTATTGCGTGTATCTGTTTGTAACGCCGGGAAATAACTCTATTCAATTTTCGTTCGTGTCATCGTAAACCGATTTATAGTAGATTGGATATGTCCTGCGTAATAAAAATTTTTATAGATACGAAAACACACATTCAACGATACACACAATACTCTCTGCGTTTTGCAATGTTGAAACAATAACGTTATTGGTTTAAATTCAAGAATTTCGAGCTGAAATTTTTGTATTTCTCTTATTAAACCTACGTCTGCCAGGATGCATTTTTATTTTATGCATATACCTCGAATGGGACGAGTTATTCCTTCGAGTTTTCCTCCATCTGGCCAACTTATAATTTAGTTTGCGCTGTCTAGCGTTTCGGTTTAATTTCATTATCATTTCGCTGATTAGTTTCGGTAGAAATTTTGCTGGAAAAAGAAAAACGAGCCGCGAAGAATAACAGAAAAGACATCGAGTGTTGGAGAAACAGTGAGATGAGAAAACCGACGATGAAGACTTTAATGAAGAGGACACGGAAGGCGACGTAATGGAAGGAATGGAATAATAACGAAGACAATATTCTCGACGTATTTCTTTGACAGAAATAAAGCGAAAAGAAAAGAAACACAGAATTCCTCGAAAGAAAAATATCACCACGTGTCTTTTTGAAGCAAAAGAATAGTAAAACAACGAAAAGTGAAGTCTATTTAAAAATTCAAAAGTTAACATTTTTGCTGGACCACGGTGACGGTAAAATCAGATTAAACGGAATATCTCTTTCGTCGGGAACCCCGTAGAAAATCGCTTAATATTTTCCGAGGGAAAATGAAATCCATTCAGTATTTTGTGTACGATTTATTCGTACGAGGCGGAACGGCTTCGCGACGATAGAGCCACTCGATAAAGGCTCAAACATAAATTCAAAAAGATTTCCATAATCCCAGAAATGTCCATGAAAAAGGAACAACTTGGATAAATTTTCAACGGTAAACATCGCGAGATATCAGGGGTGTGTTAGCAAGCGACAAGAGTTTATCGCAACGGTGGAGAATTTATAGTTCTGAGTCGGTATCTCGATATCTCACGGTCTTACAAACTGTTCGAGGAGGGAAACGGCTGCGAATAGGCCCGAATAGGTACACAAGTGTAAAAGGCGAGCGTAAAACGCCCTCACCGTAGCGCCGAAATATGAAGGCAGATGGTAACATTAACGTTGACTCGTCGCTTCCACCCTCTGTCGTTCCCCGGCCATTTTGTCTTCCTCCGCGCAGATATTGCCAAGGCATTGTTCCCCAGCGTGTGTGCCAACGGTGCGACTCATTGTCCCTGAAATGTTTAATTCCCAGCCACCTCGGCCACCGTGGCATTCTTTCAGCCTGCCAGAACGCCGATAGAACAATGAACGAAGATGACTCTTCGAGAGGAAACTTTCGTTACCGCGGAATTTCCTAGCGTGCTTATCCGCTCCTTTTTACGATCGGTCCAACTACGTGGCGCACAGCCTGGAATTCTACTCGGTGAACGGGGGACTTCTCCGTCGAAACTAATTCGAATCTTGGGAACTAGAATCTTTTCAATAGCCGGGGACTGTGTTACCGTAGTTGCAGGGCGTCTCGAAAGTAAGTCCATTGTTAGAAAGTAAGATGAAACTACGGAT